GGTTTACACAGCCCCCGCGGCCCCCGCCGCGCCCCCGCGGTTCCTGCCGGGCAGCACGCAAGCTTTCTGCGCTCGGCAGCCACCCGGCGCGGTGCGGCCCCACTGGTGCAGCGCCGGCTGGCGGGCTGTCATCACCGCCGCCCGGACGCCACTCTTGGCCCCTCACCCCCACCCCGCGTTTCGCAGGTCAACCACACACCCAACCCCAACATCATTGCTAAATATAAGGTGAGGGTTTGAGGTGACGCCAAAGCGTCTGCACGTCCCAGCCGACGCGGCGGCAGCGGCCCGCGCGGCGCCTCTGCGTCGCTGCTGTCAGAGCACGTTCTCCGATGGTCCCGAACGGCCGACCCCTTTGCGCCGCCCGCGCCCCCGCCTGCGCCCGTCCGGCTTCCGCGCAGGTGTATGGCCTGCCCACCCTGATGGTGTTCAAGGATGGGGAGTTGGTCGAGGACAGCCACCGCGAGGGGGCCTTCACCAAGGCCATTCTCAAAAAGTACATCGAGGACCACATCCTCGCCACTGTCAACGCGTGATCTGGATCTAGATCTGGATCTGATCTTGTTGGTGTTGGCGCCCACGTGGGATGTTTGGGGGCGCGAGGCGGGCCTGGAGAGGGCGGTTTGCAGGCGCGGGACCAGGCCTCGACCAGCGGCGCGCAACCCCACCCTGTACAGCATCAGCGAGGCCGCCGCGGCGCGCAGCCGGGGCGGCCGCCGAGAGTCCAAGGGGCGCGAGCGCGGCGCGGCGCGCCCAGGAGAGAGGTTTGTGCTTCTTTGTCGCGCCGTCACAGGCAGAGGTTTCGAGTGTCATGGGGGCCGTGGCCGTCTGGTTTGGATCTGCCGCGCGGGAACTGAAAAGCTTTTGCAAGCCGGGCGCGCAGGAATTTCCGGCGCTGGGGCTTGCACACAGCGCGCTGCCTGGTCAACCCGAATCCCGACATTTGACAGCATGCAATTGATTGGAATTCTTTCGCCGCGCGCTGCCAACCTTTTCGCAGTGCCCTTGCCTTTGTCTGCGGCTGCCCTTGCTCATGAGCATACCCTGCAGCAAATCAACCACGCTGCAGCCATGGTAACAACACCGGTCATCCAGGCCAACAGCCCCACCCAACCATTTGGGTGCCTGCCTGAGTGTCACTGACAAAGCCAGCTGGGCGCTGACGCTCTTGCGGCTGCACCGACCCACATGTGCTGCAAGCCGCTGCAGCTCGCGCCGCGGCAGTCGCAGAGGCGTGAGTCAGCATGACGGCGCCGCCAGGTGCCCTGATGCCCCTGCAGGGTCCTCCAAGCTGGCCCCAGCACTCACATGCCATCAACGCCTGCAGCGTCGCGATGAGGCCGCGACGTACCACCAGCTGTCGCCACCGGCGCACTCAGCACGCGGCCAGGCACGCGCATCGGCCGTGACTTCACAGGTTGCAGCAGCGCTGGCGTCTGGCGGCTGCCGCCCCTGACGGGTGCCCCTTAGTCGCGAGAGAGCTTGTAGCTGCGCCCCGCAAACGCCTGCCCGCCGCCCCCACCGCTTGGCCCCTGCCTGCCAGCCCCGCCGCCGCCGCCGCCGCCGCCGCCGCCGCCGCCGCCGCCGCCGCTGCCGCCCTCCTGAGGCCCGGCCACACCCCCAAAGAAGTCCGCCAAGCCCCTGCCGCCCCCGCCCCCGCCGCTGCTGCCGCCTCCGCGCCCGCCGCCGCCGCCCGCGGGGCGCTGTCCCTGCGGGGGCGCCCTCGTGGGCGCGGCCCCGCCCAGGACACTGTTCAGGGCCCCGGACTTCCATGCCACTGGGATAGGAGTGGGTATCGCAAAAACAATCATCTGCAAGGGCCGCAATTGGCAAGAACAGATTGAGCGCTTGCGAGCATTGGGCTGCAAGCAGTGGCGGCGGCGGCGGCGGCGGCCGCGGGACGCCCGCAGCGCGCCTGCCAAGGTCTTTTTGCTGGGCTGGCAAGGCGTTGCGCGGCGGGGGCGGAGGGCGGTGGTCGGCCCGTCGGGCTCACCTATCAAGGCGCCTATCAGAAAGCCGCGCAGCCCCATGAAGAAGGTGGCGCCCGCCAGCAGCGCTAGGTGCAGGCCAGGCACGCTGCGGGGCGGGGGCAGCGGGGCGGGGCCGGGCGCACGGCAGTGGTGCACAGCGCAGCAGTGCCGCAGGGCGCGCGCGCGCGGCGCGCCGGCCGCACGGCGCGGCGCGTGCGCGGCGCTTGGCAGTGTTGAGTGGGTGAAGCGAGACGGCAGGCGTGCAAAGAGCTGGGCAGGCTGCGCTGTTGGATCCAAATGGGGCGGCAGGACTCCACCAACCCACCTGACGCCAAAGAATTCAAAGTCTGGCAGCTGCCCGCCGGCTGCGGCCGGCATCATCCGCAGCGGCGGCGCGTCCAGACTGAACCCGCTGGCAGCGGGAGGAGGCGGCGGGGCGCCGCCGCGCGGCGGGGGGCCGCGGGGCGGGGCGGCGGGCGCGGCGGCACCCCTCCCGTGGCGGGCTTGCACACGGGGGTCGTCATCTGCTACGATCTCCCCATTGATGATGTGAACCATGGACCCTCAGACTTTGGAAGAAGGTTATTGCTGCTGCCGCAGCAGCGGCCTCTTCACAGCTGGGAGTCCGCAGCAATGCTTTGCGATGACGCGGCGACACGTCCGTGCGGCAAGAGGTGTCCTGGCGCGAGTGCTGCGCGCAGACCCGCTGGTGGTCGCTCTGGGCGCGGAAGACCGTGCTTGGGGGTTCGAATCGTTGTAAGACAATACTCAGCGACGTCCAGGACGGGGATCCACTTCGGGCTTTCTACGTCCTATACGATTTGATCAAGATTGCTGTATGTGTCACTCAAGACCCGAATGTATGATTCATGAGCTGCTTCAAAGGCTCCGGCCACTCACTGCGCTAGCTGTTTGCAATGCAGAGGTTACAGGCCAGCAGCTGCTGTGGTGGTTGCCCAGAGCTGCCCTCGAGGCCTCTACTCATCTACTGTACCCGTTGCGGCCGGGTGCGTCCTGCGCCGCTCCCTTCCCTTGCTGGCTCCCAGCTGGCGTTTTTGCCATCATGTTGGCTCTTGGCACACTCCTCCTCACAATTTTGGCCACTCATAACCATGCCAGTACCTACCTGCTTCGGAACAGTACAGTACTGCTTAGCTCGATGGGGCAGGTATAAGTGGCAATCTTGCAGCTTGGGCCCGAGGTGGGGGTGGATGAGTGGGTGGGTGGTGCGGCCTGTGCCAGAGTCTGCAAACCTGGTTTGGCGGCGTGAGCGGCGGTGCGCATCAGTGCAGCTGCTTGGCCCCAGCCCTCTGCATCTGTGAGCCGCTTTCGCGCCACGTCGCCCGTCGTGCTTTCGGGCATTTCGCTGGGGCCGCCCCTCCCAGGGATGTGACGTGTCTATTTCAATCCTTGATCAGGCTGAATGTTGGCATGTGCTGGTTTGCGCGTGCTGTGAGGGGACTGATGCGGCCCAGGCGGGCCCTCCGTGTCCACCAGTCACGCCTGGGCTGCGTTCATTCAGGCAGACTGGGCGCACCCATCGGGTCCTAACTGCGCATGGTTGTGGGCGAATGATATAAGCAGAGTGTGCCGATTTGCCAGCGTGTTGTGTTCTGAGGTGGGGTTACCTCTGCACGTAGACAACCGTGGCGCCCCCTTTAATTCGCCGCAATCCCAGGCACGGCTCTCTAAAACCAGGCCGTGCCTGCAATCCCAGGCACGGCTAGCCTGCAAGTATGGCGGCACTCCCGCGCTGCTGCCCCACCCTCACTTGCACCGACCGGCGCAGGCAGGCTCATATGAGTGCTTTTGATGTGCTCGCTGTGTCCATGACTGGCCACCATTTGCTGGACACCTGCAGGCTGCGACTCTCGCTGCCAGCAGACGAGCAGATAGAAAGGTGTGGCGTACAGTCGATTGTTTTCCATCATTCTTATACAGCAAGCAATCGGTCCCAAAAGGCTGCTCACCTTCAGGCTGCTCACCCAAAGGCTGCAACCCGTGACGCTCATCAGGAGGGTCAGGGCAAGCAAGCCCCCCACGCCCCCCATGCAAAGCTTGTAGTGTGATGCCCGGTCTGCTGAGCGCGCGAGTTTCCAAGCATGTCATGTGCAATGAGAGAACGTTCCATTCTTCCTTTGGCTGCAACAGAGCGCTGTCAGCAGAGCCTATTTTGCATTCGTTTAGCATCTCCGGAATCAGGACTCGCTACTGGGCGTGCGGCCCGTGGAACTGTGGTTGCGGTGGAATGCGCACCGCCCACAACCTCCATCCAACATGGTTTACGGATGTGGGTGGGGTGATCGGAAAGCTACTTCTGCTGCTGTCGATGCTGCTGCTTTTGCTGTTGCTGATGGCGAGCACGGGCTTATGTGAGAGGTCGCCCAGAGGCTGTGGGCATGGCGTCACATTGGGGCTGACCACGGCGTAGGGCTCCAGTCACAGCATGAGGTCAGCAGCCAGGTAGGTGTCGTGGCTGCAATTTCGATCCAATCATCCTGCTTGCTTTTATCAGCACAGGCCTGGGCAGCCCTGCTCACGCCCCGGTACCGGCGTTGACATGCGTTTGCCAGGCCGGACGGCTTTGCGCTGGGGATCAGCCTACGCAAGGTTGAGCGCCTGTCCAGATCCTGGCCGGTTGGGCGCTTGGTAATGCTGTAATGCGCATATGGGGCACATCTCAAAGGGCCAGGTGAGCGGTTTGGCGCAAGCTACAGCCGCAATGTTTGCCTGATCAAAGATTTTGTGATGTGCTGCTGCACTGGCCTCAGCAACAGGACCCCAAGGTTGCGGAGCTCTTACGTAATGGTGGACTGCAAGCAGCATGTGACGCAGTGGGGGGGCTGGGCTGGCTCCAGCGGGCTGTGCTTGATCCTCACCGTGCTGGACTTGTGTGGATCTGTTATGTCATAGGACCGTGAAGCTTTATGGCACACTTCTGCATCACACAGTCGCCTGGATCTCTGGCGGACAGGCTCAAAGTTGGGGGTCATCGCTCCCAGGACCTTTACAAATTCACTATGACTGAGGGCCTAACTTGCAAAGGTCTTGGCCCCCACGTGTTACTTGGAGCCACAGATTGACTCTGACAGATTATCATAGAAGTTGTAGCTGCGCTTTAAACGCTACACAGGGCTGTGCTGGCGGGGCACTCCCACCCCGTGACAAAGCAAGTGCCACCGGTCGCTATGTCATGCAGATTCGTCAGAACGTGGTGTGTGAGAAGCTGAACGACCGTATAACTCAAGGATATATTGTGCGTTTCGCGCAATCACCCTCATTCCG